CTAAATTATACCACACATTTACAGGTTTACATATGTTACATTTCTACCATAAAATCAGATTACTTCCATATACTGATGGTAGGGCTGTGCAAAAAATCAAATGCGATTTTCATGCGCATCTCGTCAGTAAAGCCGCTCCTGTGATTAGTAGTAAATCTCCAGTACGTGCTTTCAGATGGAGCGGCATTTACTACACAGAGCTGTAGTTCACTGACAAACTACACAAAAGATTTTCTGCACAGCCCTAACTGATGGTTTTGAAACCATACAGCTTTGTTCAAATAAACAACTCAACAGCTGCCCAGCACTGTGTGGAAGCTGTCTGATTAGTCAGCAATCTGTTCTAGAGGAGTTCCCTCAGGCTCAAATTCTCCCACCCACAGCTTCACGCTAACTCATGGGTCAGACACTGTCAGGGTGATTTAACAGATGCCTGAAGACACACAGGTCCAAACAGATGCTCGTCCCAACAAGCCCAAAGAGATGACAGTTATTCATAAACAGGATGTAAAATAGTACAGGTGCATCTCAATAAATTAGAATGTAGTAGAAAAGTTCATTTATTTCAGTAATTCAACTCAAATTGTGAAACGTGTCCAAATCCACTTTTGCTAGTTTAACGACGGGAAAAATGGTTGGTGTGCCCGTTGCATGGTCTAAAAGGTTTGTCCCTATTCTCTTAATGTGTAATGGGTGTGTTTTGGGCATAACGGGCAATAAACCAATCTGAGTCTCATCTCCCATCCCCTTTAAGAGCCAGTTGCGCTTGTGCCATGGCGGATTTGCTATTTACACGGCAGAATTTGCAAGCGCAAAGACAGAACGCGAGGAAACAGCGTTCTATAGAGGAAATGCATCTGCTCGTGCGCGAGCAAATAGATAGCCTAATTCTGATACATGCAATGACTATCCATTATGACATGTAGGCATTTTTATATTTATGTAGCCTACACAATAACAATCTTTTACATTGCAATCCTTTAATTTTTAATATTTGGCATGTTTGTGTGCTGCTGTGCGTCCCTGTGTGTGCAATAAGCAGAGTGTGTGCATGTTGTGCACCCGCCAATACTAACGCGCTCTTTAAATAACAAAAAAATCTACTGCGCCATTGACTTTAGACCAGGTTTTAGTTGGTCAATGGTGCAGTCTATTTCAGTTGCCTAAAAATAGCAACGCGCCAACAATGCGCCTGAACACACCTCGTTTTCAGACCAGCACGCCCATGAGCGCACAAATGGGTGCAAAGGCATTTGCTATTTAAACAATGTGACGCAGGACGTAAAAATGATAACTGCGTCGGACTGAAACTACCAAAAAACACTTGCATCGCGCCCATAACTCACAATTGCGAATTTATATCTCACAATTCTGAGAAAAGCAAACAGAATTGTGAGATATAAACTCGTAATTGTGAGAAAAAAAGTCAGAATTAAGTTTTTTTTATTTTTTTTATTTAGTGGCAGAAATGGGCTTCCATATGCAGGTTTGAAACGACATGACAACAGAACATTACTATTTTGTTTAACAATAATGCAAAGGCTGGGAAGTTTTTAAAAAAACAAGACATTAATTATTGTTGTTCAACCTGAAAGTGGCATTCTTGTCAAAAAAAAATACTAATGAAGCCATTTTACAGAGAGCGACAGATGACATCAACGCCCTTCTGCCTGCCGACACCCCTGATGACTCTACCCCACTGCCGCCTGGAGGAGACCCTTCAGGTAACGAACAACTGACACCTGGTCAACTGTCTGAAAAGAATGAGTGATGGGCTCGTTTTAAAAACCACATGTTGCTCACAAGAGCCCTTATTTGTTCACGAGTTATGTCTATGTGAGTGGGAAGTTCATTAACTTTTCTGTTTTTAATAAAAATTTCTACATGTTCCAGACCTTCCAACTTGTCTACTGTGTGTGTGCCTAACTGGATCTGTCTACTGTGAGGAGGTCGACCCAGATATGACATCAGTGCCTGCTCTGCCAAAGGAGACAAACTACCTCTATGCTCGGTACAACAAGATAAAAAAGATAACAGCCAAAGATTTCGGAAATATCGGTGAGTTCTTCCTGACTTGACTTGCTCTGGCATTCTCGTTGACCGCCCTTTTCTGTTGGGGGAACATATACAATCCTTGTGGACAGGATCAGGGATTACCCTTAAGGAGAGCAGGAGGCAAACAGCTGCTTCTTTTCAGAAACAATCCAGAATCCATTTCATCCAAAAGATTTCCAAATGTTAAGGGACATGATATACAAACCATAATATGATCACAAGAGATTGCGAGTTTTTCCGTTGCATAAAGACATCGATCACATTTCGGAACCACAACATCCTACAGAACATGCGTGTTGACAAAAACTTGCAAATGTGGTAAACTACTCTGTTTGCAGAAGTGCATCATGGGTACAACAAAGTTAGCTAGAGGCCTTTAGGGGACTCATGCATAAAAGACTTTTAAAAAAAAGTTTATTTGATAATTTGTTGAATATATATATATAGGGTATTCACAATTGATGCTAATGGAACACTCAATAATAAGGTGACTTTCGACAGCACGAAAAAAGTTAAAAGGAGCATAAAACTTTTAACAAACAAAAACTGCAGGAAGTACGAAAAAAATAACCACGTGGATGGCAGGAGTGTAATTTCCGAGCCAAACTGTCTAGGTGTCTAACATATGACACTTAACCTTCACATTATCAATTTAATGCTCTTCTGTCCATTTCCATTCATCTACTATAGTTACTCTGAAGAGAATCGACTTCACTGGAAATATCATTTCTGAGATTGAAGATGGTGCTTTTGCTAAGCTTACCATGCTAGAGGAGCTCTCACTAGCTGAAAACCTGCTGGTCAAGCTACCAATGCTACCGGCGAAATTAGTCTCCTTTAATGCTAATCACAACAAACTGAGGACCAAAGGAGTCAAGTCAAATGCTTTCAAGGTAAAGAGCCACAAATTACACTACCTGTTTGAAAACACTTCTAGCCAATGCACAACCTTTTGTTTTGAATGTTTTGAAGTGACTTTTTCATTTATAGAAAGAATACCCTACCGAATTGATTTAATCAAGACAAAGACAGTCTTATTTGTTATTGTTTTAACCTTTTTCTCTCAAAATTGTTTTGCTCTGACTTCCAGAAATTAAGCAAACTGACACATCTGTATCTTGCTCACAATGAACTGGAGGCGGTTCCTCTCATTCCAGAGACTGTCCGCACACTTCACCTACAGGTTAGAAAGCTGAATATGTTTTGCATGCTAACAAGCCTTCTGCACAGAAATTATTAAAAAAATAATAATAATTTTAATGTAAAAAAAAAAAAAAAAAACATCTTGAAGGAACTCTAACCCCTTCTCTTGCTGTTTTCAGAACAATAACATTTCAAGCGTGACTGTGGACACCTTCTGCAAAAGTAACAACACATACTACATCCGCCACAACATGAACGAAATCCGTATGGATGGAAATCCTGTCATCCTCGGCCAGTACCCCAACAGTTTCATATGCCTGCAGTCTCTGCCAATTGGGCGATACCAATGAAAACAGAATCAAAAAGGTACACCCCAGTGAGAATTCCTTGGATAGCAAATGATGATGACTAAAACCGAGAAGCAAAAGTCATTCAATCTCCTGGTGCCCGAGCACAGATAAGTGTAAAAGTTAATACCATGAGAACCTGCATCATATATCTAATTATGTAACAGCTGCCCAAACACTTAGATTTCCTCTTGATATTGACTTTGTAGATGAATCTGAACCACAAGTCTTTGAAAGAATAACTTAATTTCCATTGTAAATAACTACTGGAGGCTACTGCTTAGAAAAATGTGAGATCATGAAAAGCTGCAGTCAAGCTTCTAGTATTCCTCAGAACTCTGTGAATTTCTGACACTTTCTAGTACTGTTAAATGGTCTTACTTTAGTTGAAATTAAGATGCCTGCTAAGTTAATTAGAGGGTGAGGAACTCATCCCAACTTCCAAGTTACTGATCTTTCCCAGCTGACTTTTACTTTAATGTTTTGAATATTATTTATATGCTAAATGTGTAATTACTACCTATATATGTGAACTAAACATGAATAGTGTACAGTAAAACATTGTATGAAATCAACATGTTATGTTTGCTTTTGTTGTTCAAATACACTTTTTTTTCTAACTTGTGACTAGTTTGCTTTTATCTTTTACAACTGTCAGACTGTAGTTAAAGCAAAAAAAAAGGCAGTTCCAAAAAGAGACCAAAACAACTGTCTGCAAATTGCAAACCAATCAAACCCAAAGATTTTGCATACAGAAACTTCTGGAAAAAGTGGGGTAATATTGTTCCATTTAACTGGCCAAATTGGCAGCCATTACAGAACAATGATCCAAGCAAATAATGGAATGTTTTTCATACTGACTCGAAGGCTTCATTCCCAAACTTTCACTGTTATCGAGTCATGGAATTTGTTCCCAATCTGGCATTCAGCAATCTTTCTCATACTTATGAAAGTCTCATGATATATACAGTACATACATATTTCTACTTACAAGAAGAGAAATAAAAGTGGAGAACTTTGTTATTTCATGTAGAATCTTTGAAATATATATTTTTCCTCAAAGGAATTAAATAAATCAGGTGTCTTTGTTTTGGATACACATTGGTCTAAATAATCATATTCCTTCTAACTTATTACAGTATTAACTTATTATAAGGCTTTTATGAAAGTTATAGAAACACAAACTTTTTCATTACAAATTAAATTATCAGCATAACAACAACAAAAGTCTGAATACTACCAATTGGACATATCGTGCCACAACCAATCAGAGAAATTTAAATGTAAGTCCCTTTTTGGCAAGTTTGTGTGTAGCTGTGACTAGATTTCAATAAAAGTCACAATTTCTTTCATGATCAATGAGAACTGACATTGATGTCAATTCTCAGTACTCAAGTATTTGTGCTCATTCATATTTGGTTGAGCACTTTATTCCCTGCTTCTATTGCTGGTTACCTGAAAGTGCCGAAACGTTTGACGCCTCTCCTCACATCTCTCAGAGAACGTCCTCAAGGTCCTGAAGAACAAAAGAAGATCTTTTGTGTCCTCCACTCTGCAAACAAGACAGTATTGTTACATTAATACCCCATAACACCCAACATTGTATTGCTTACTTTGGTAATTCTAATTAGATTATCTTAAATTATTTGATTAGAAAAAATAATGACAGGGAAATATCCTCCTTGATGTAAAATTCAGCATACAATGTAGAAGGATAAACTGTGTAATTTGTGTTTAATCCCATTCACAGGCTGACATTACGAGACATTTTGAGATTTTCCATAGATTTACCAGGGGCCCAGAAACTGTGGCACAGAATGCAACTTTCCATGACTCTGGAGTCTTGGAGTGAAAGGCCGGTGCTGTAATGTGTGATGGAAAAATGGTAAGTCTCTCAAAACTAAATGGATCCACTCCAAGAGTAAAAGACAGCAGCTTAATGGCAAGAGTTGGAGAAAAGGCTCCCTGAGAATATCTAAGCACCAGACAATTAATGTACGCCTTAAATTTTTGGGATTTGGGTGAGCTGAAAGTTTACAAACATTCATCAGCCATCTGGATTGACTGATGTCTAGCGCTGTTTAAAAGAAACCCCAGACAAATCACCCTCACCGACGGATCTCATTTTGTAATCTGGGCAAATTTCCATAGTATGCATTTCAGATTTGTTGATTGGGGACCTTGAATCTGAAAAAGTAATTTTAAACCACGCTGTCCTAGAATGCTAACCTTTTAAGTTCAACAGACCAAACATACTGAATACCAGGATCGCTCTATAGACCGAGTAATAGCAAATCAATGTTTGACTGCTTTGTATAATGTCACTAAATTTGTCCCTTCAGTTTTTCTCATTTGCCTGGTTATGCTGCCAAGAACCTGTGGTATGTACTAATACTCAACGCATAGGTTCCAAAAACCTGTGTGGTTGTGCTTTGTTTCAAACTTCACACTTATCAAAAATCAAAGCATCAACAACAGAACCAAAGTTGCAAACATAGCTATAGATACAGTAATGAAAGCACAAAAACTTTCTCCCCAGAAATGCCTGAATCCACTTATGTACCTGACCACAAGAGTGCTCAAAAAATTCTTAAGTTTACATGGACCATAATGGTTATAAAATGCGTCTTCCTGAGTCGCAGAGACAACTCAAGACTTATGCGAGAATCATTATCTCCAGTATTTTTCCGACTCTCTCGTGCCAGGACTCTCAGACCAGACAATATGATCCAGATGCACATTCAGCGACCAGGAGGTTGGCTGCTCTTTAGAAAAGGACCCAAACAAATCGCCGCCAAAACAGCAGCATTACTTCAAACTGTAATTTGTCATCCCAGACAAAAAATCCTGTGACTAAGTGGAACAACCACAGAAGATCCTATAGTCATGTTTTTAGAAAACAAAACTCTGAAATGTAAAGAAATTCATTGGTAATTCAAATGTATGAGTGTAATGCATTTACATTTCAAGTAATATTATGTTGATTGAGAGATCAGTGGTAATCAGTGTCGTTGGTTTGAATCTTTGGAAATGTACCATAAAGCTACAGATACTGTTTGACATGAAAGGATAAATCTAGCAGCAGAATAAGTTAACCACAAGCATGAATCTTCCCCACTGGAAGTCACAGATTCAGACCTCAGCTCTCTTTTCAAGTATATTTCAAGTATGATGTACAACACAATCTAAATAACCTAACGTTCTAATTATCTCGGCTGTGTACTCTGTGGATTGCTGGATACATCAACATCAAAAGGTGTTACTTTAATGGGAAGTGTTGTGCTGTACTCGTTAAAGTAATAATAGAAGACAGAACTGCACTTCAGACCACAGGAATTTTATCACTCTAAACCAACAAATAAAGCAAATTCAAAGGTCTCTGGTGGAGTTGCCTGTACAGACTGTCCAGATTCACACAGTCCAGAGTGACCTTCAGGTGGTCCACACGTTCACTTTTTACAGTGCACACACTGCGGCAGGGTGCTGTTGGCTGTCAATGACTTGCTGGTGCCATTTGTTGAAAGTTTAATGAGCTGGACATGTTACGGGCAGTCAACACAGCACTTTTAAACATTAAATGTGTACTCTGTGGATTGCTGGATACATCAACATCAAAAGGTGTTACTTTAATGGGAAGTGTTGTGCTGTACTCGTTAAAGTAATAATAGAAGACAGAACTGCACTTCAGACCACAGGAATTTTATCACTCTAAACCAACAAATAAAGCAAATTCAAAGGTCTCTGGTGGAGTTGCCTGTACAGACTGTCCAGATTCACACAGTCCAGAGTGACCTTCAGGTGGTCCACACGTTCACTTTTTACAGTGCACACACTGCGGGGTGCTGTTGGCTGTCAATGACTTGCTGGTGCCATTTGTTGAAAGTTTAATGAGCTGGACATGTTACGGGCAGTCAACACAGCACTTTTAAACATTAAGTCCACACATCATTATGTGGGGTGCAGTGTTCTTCTGGACTCAACTGACTGAACCTCATTAAAGCACCAGAAGAGCAACCATCTATAAAATTTAGAAAGAGAGTTTACGCCACCAACATAAAAAAAACATGCTCCTGCTGTGAAGCTGCTCTGTAGGAGCTTTACCACAAATATAGAACAATACAAAACAAACAGAACTGAACTAAAAAAAAGCACAATACAGCAACAGATGACAATAGAATAGAACAAAGCAGAACAGAAAAAAATATATATGGGCAAAATCTGTGAACAAACTTTGAAGTTGCTTGAGATAGTCTAGCCTGAAAGTTGTTAACATGTTTTTAACATGATTCTTATGTTGCTAGCATGTTTCTAGCTCACTCCGCTCCGGGTTCACCATTTCCCGCTCCACTAATCAGAAACACCGCTCCGCGGCTAAATTATTTCACTATGCTTGAAAAATCAAAGTTCTGTTCAGAAATTATATTAAACGAAAAATAAATGCATAATACTAGAAGAATAGTTTTTACATGGTTTATTGGAACACTACAATTAGCCCAAGTCCACATTAAATGACTGCTTAACTCGCTTAGCTTGTCTGTGCAACGTCTCTCTACTATGGCGAAGCTGAGGGTAGTTACTTCAGAAACAGAAAGAATATGCTGTAACTTTTCCGTTTTTAAGCTGATAAATCACAGGACAGCGTTGATCAAATTTTCTTCATTCCTGAATGTATGCGCGCGATCTATACGAGTTCAGATGCAAAAGCCTCTAAGTGCTGTCTGAAATTTTGATCTAGAATGAGCATTTTCATCAGGCTCCTATGTTTAGGTTCAGTAATGTTACTCTAATTGCAATGTATAGGTCCTTTTCTACTGAATTAAAGTGAAATAACTGAACATAAATATAGGAGCCTGATAAAAATGCTCATTTTTTAAATATAAAATGTTTTTCTCTATTTAACAACATTACAATAGTGAAAGACGACTTCCCTTACGGATCACGTCTCTTGCGTGGCGGGATGTTGGACTCATGAAAAATAATCACGTTGTTTGTATTCACCAAAACTGATTTATTGAAGTCAAAACACGGAGTGCTGTGAGGCGGGAGAGACGAGCCGGCAGAGGATTCCGCAGCCTTCCACGACCAGTTATGTTCACGATTTCTGATTTACTTAACGTATACTGCGTGAGGGGGGCTGTGGATGATGACAGGTATCGGTGATCATTCTCAAGTGATCAGCACCGCTGCTGTTGTATCAGTCAGTGGTTAGATCAGCGTAGCAGTCAAAAAACAGGACAAGGGAGGTCACGTACGGGACAAATCAGGCCCAAAATACCGGATGGTTGGCAACCCTATGTACAACTTACAACATGTTTTAACCTCCCGCACTCGTCCATTGCCATTTTAACCTTCAAATGTGATCCACATATCTGTCAAGCTAACTAATTATGTTTAATGCGTGAGTTGGCATAATTTGTGCTCGTGACGGAGCGGTAGCGGAGCGAGTGAAAACCTCAACGCCCCGACTTTCAAAAGATCCGCTCCTAGTTCCAGGCAAAATCACGCTGCTCCGCTCCGCTCACATACTCTGGCCTGGACCACGAATAAACAAATCCTTCAGTTGCAAGCATAACAGAAATCCCTCAAACACATAAACAAAGCCATTATTTGTATAATGATGGAATATTTAAAAAAATAAAATAAATAAAGTAAATCTTTTTGAGGTTATGTGGTATTTCACTTAAACGCTGCCTCATATGAAGGATTCTCAAGAGTACATCACTGTCAGTCAATCAGTCGGCAGCGGATCTAACCTGATCTCGCAACACTTGCCAATCAGAGATCTGATGAGAAAATCAGATCTCTGCGGGAACTCTCTCACATCGTTTTAACAACAGCTGGTCAGGGTTCACTCAGCATCCAGCTAATGAGCCACTTGGATACTTTTTTTCCCTCTTATATGAAGTTTTGTTTGAATTTGTATCTTTTTACAAGACTAACATAAAGCAGAACACTCTTCTATGGTGTCTGGGAATTCACTTGCCTGATGTTTACTTACACTGTAGGTTTTATGTTGTGTAACCTATTACGCAACCTGGATTTTCTCCAAATGGGATTTCTGTTGATTCAATTATGTAAACAAGCAAGATCCAACATTTTGTGAAGAGCACAAATTATCCATGGAATCCACTTACCTTTAAAAATAAATGTAAAAAGAAATAAATAAAGTAATAGATCACCCAAAAATGAAAATCTGCTAAAAATTTACTTACTCTCAGGTCATCCAAGATGTAGATGTGTTTGTTTCTTGATCAGCACAGATTTGGAGAAATGTAGCATTACATCATTTGCTCACCAATTGATCCTCTGCAGTGAATGGGTGCCGTCAGAATGAGAGTCCAAACAGCTGATAAAAACATCACAAAAATCCACAAGTAATCTACACGACTCCAGTCTATCAGTTAATGTCTTGGGAAGTGAACAGCTATGTGTTGGTAAGAAGCAAATCCATCAAGGCATTTTAACTTCAAACAGTCACTTCTGGTCAAAATATGAGTCCAGTGAAAAAGTCCACCCCTTGTTGTCCTCTCACATCAAAATCCACCAACATATTTGTTTAGAGCTGTTTTGGCTTGTAAACGGTGCTTGAACTGTGTAGATTTCTCTCCTGATTCAGACAAGACCATTTTTTCACTGGAGATAGCAATATTATGAGTATTCATATTTAATTTATTTTATATTTTAGCCAGAAACAATGATTTAATGTTAAAAATTTCCTAATGACCAATTTATTACAAATATGCAGCTTTTTACTTCACAAGACATTAATTGATAGACTGGAGTGGTGTGGATTTCTGTGGTGCTTTTATCAGCTGTTTGGACTCTCATTCTGACGGCACCCATTCACTGCAGAGGATCCATTGGTGAGCAAGTGATTTAACTTTTGCTACATTTCTCCAAATCTGTTCTGATGGAGAAACAAACTCATCTACATCTTGGATGACCTGAGGGTGAGTAAACTTTCCTTAAATGTTCCTCAAAATACAAACACATGATTTTTGTACAAAATACAAACAATGATATTAAGCAGTTACCAATCATCACTCTACCTGGACACAAATGCAGAGAAATCTTTGAATTCAACACCATCCACAACGATATTGACCTCTGTAACTCTCCTGAGCAGAGCATCATCATCCTGTAAAAAAACACTGAGAATTAAACAATATTATAAATAATCTTAATAAATAGCCTTAAATTGATCTGCATTTATTCTATTACCTGCCATGAAACTGATGGTTTATGGGATTTCCTCTCTTCAGGAAAGAAACTCTCATCTTTTTTATTGTGAAGACTGGAGCACAAATCTGCTTTCACTTTTTTATGCGCTTTATATAATGCTTCAAGTTTATTCTTGACTATTGTCATGGTAAAGATTTTAAATTTTAAAGATTTTTTTTTAAACATTTACTGTGAGTCAGCTTTAGATGTTCCAACAAAAATAAAACCTTAATCTTCAGAATTATATGTTGATCTTCCAAGGGTTGCCAGTTTAAAATAACTCACAATTTTTAAGGGTGCCATCAGTCACCAACCAACAGTTCTATTCTTAATTATTTATTACAACTTCGTAAATATTTGTGCTAAGGAGGTCCCTCAAAGAACTGGATTTATGCTTGTCATGAAGATTTCAGAGAAAGAAGAACTAGAAAAACTATAAATGCCGAATCTACTCCATTAAAATGAGTTTAAGTCTACTGCACAAATCTGATGTTGAAATGACAAAGTCTCGGTCAAAATGGAGACATGCTGCCATCTAGTGTTGAGTATAAGAACAATCATGGCAGGCTTCACTGGTTCTAATAACCATGGACTTTATGTGGTTTAAATGATTGTAGGTGAAATGTGAGAATTTCAGTACTTGACTACATTTTCTGAAGAACACTTAAATGGCGCTTTATAATACAAAACATGATACTCATCACCTACCTTTTTCCTTAACAAGCCACATGATTTGAGGCATTATACAGACTTATACAGAGGGTTCAGGATTTAAACAAACCCCTAACACTAAGGCCCAATTCCAATTCTATTTTATACCCCTTCCCCTTGTCCCTTGAAACAGAGTGTCAAGGGGTAGGGGTGAAAATATTCCCCTAAGAATTGGGACACCACTACTATGCCGTCACACGTCATCATACGTCTATACACACACCTATGCTGGTGTGAATTAGAGCCTTTAATTATCATTCTATATTAATGCGCTGCTTACTGACACACACACACACACACACACATATCAGCGATAGCGCAGCTCACACATCCAGGAGCAAAGATACTTGTCAACGCTGCCCCACGACTTTTATTAATAACAGTTTAAATACTGAATCGCTAGTAACTGATTTACAGCATCTTAAAATTAACTTTTTAAGTTTTAAGGCCATGGCCTGGTTGCAACAAAAAATAGCAACGTGTTTGTAAGAAACAACCCATCATTAAGGCATTTTAACTTTAAACCATTGCTTTTGACCAAAATATGAGTTCATAATCCATATTACTTTCTCCAGTGAAAAAGTCCATGTGCATTTTTCTCTCCTGTTTAAACCGAGACATCTTTTTCACTGGAGAAAGCAATTTTAAGGACAGAGAACTAGTACTTAGCCAGAACCAACTGCCTTGATGGATTTGTTCTTTGAAAACACACGGCTTTTCTCTTCACAAGACGTTAACTGATGGACTGGAGTGGTGTGGATTACATTTGGATTATTGTGTTTTTATCAGCTGTTTGGACTCTCATTCTGACGGCACCCATTCACTGCAGAGGATCCACTGGTGAGCAAGTGCTTTAATGCTAATTTCTCCAAATCTGTTCTGATGAAGAAACAAATTCATCTACATCTTGGATGGCCTGAAGGCGAGTCAATTTTCAGGCAATTTTAATTTTTGGCTGAACTATTCATAAAAAAAACACCAAAACTCTTATTACTAATTGTAACCAGCTGCAAGTCCGTGAATATCTTAAGTCCTAAAGCACACAATCTACATACACTCATCTGGCAGGATGAATATTTCAAACACCCTGCTTTGCACAGAAGTATCTATTTTGCATGCATTTTGAAAGTGTATGTTAATTTTAATAAATAATACCTGTGAAAATACTATTAAGTGCACGGCATTAATATTTAGTGACTTCTTTGTACCTGAATCTCAGTCACTGCAAATTCAACCTGGAACAAAAGCACACTGCAGTGACCTGCAAGTCTGAGCTGCTGTACAAGTTTTCTTTCACCTGAAGAGACAACCGAAGTTAGTAACATTTAAATACAACCCAGAGTATTTTTTTCAATAAACTGATAAATTATACAAATTATTTTGCAATTAAAAGCAAATTTAAAAAACTCACTTTTGTGCAATGTCTTTACAAAACACTCATTCAGAGCAATCCCATTGATTTCCGTCTGACGTCTGAGGTCTTTTTCCAGCTCTCTGACTTCTGTGATCAGCTTTGAAAGAGTGGGTTTCTGTGCTCCTCCTCTTTCCTCAAACACTGACTTTCTGAAAGAGGAAAAAAAAACTGAAACCCTAATGTAATTCCTTTTGTCCAGTTCTCAAGTGAACCATTTTCATTGTGATTATCCTTAAAGATTTCACATCACAGAAAGACTGCGTTTTTTTAGCTTTTGTCCAGTTTACACTGCTATATGAAACTAGACAAAATCCATTGAAAGGTAGTCCGTACTAACAGTTCATGCTGTAGTCTATCTCCATGCTCTATGAAAATGGACCGTAAAGTCTCCTCCTGTTCAGCCTCCAGCATTTCAATTTCCTGCTGGAGCATCTGGATCTCTTCTTCATATTTCTGCTCCATTATCTTCCTCAATCTACTAAAAAGCAGTTTATGAAAATACAAAAATAGAGAGAGAGAGA